TTTTAAAAACTGTGGACAAAAGTCCTAGCAGACTCGAATCCACTTGGACTGCTTCCAGAAGGAAATCTCATCACAGGAAGTACATGTTTCCCAATCACCCAAGGTCAGATCAACCATCTAATGGAGAGGACCTTCAAGGAAACATTCAAGGCCAGGTTGGATGGAGCTCTGAGCAACCTGATCTAGTTGAAGATGTCCCTGCTCATTGCAGGGGAGTTGGACCAGATGACCTTTAAAGGTCCCTTCCAACTCAAACCATTCTATGATTCTATGATTCCATGACAGAGTTTGCATGAGCAGAGCTCATGTTTCTCCTGCTAAACAAATAGTTTGTCTTGACAAGCAAACTGCAGTTTGATTTGTTGTTATGCCAGAAGAGTTAAACGTGGATGCCCAGCTGGAGGATGGCAACACCAGCATGTAATTTTGGGATCTGGAGATTCACTGATCTCCCCCAACTGCTTGTTCTTCCCCCTAAAGATCCTCAGCAACTTGTCTGTGCTCCCCCATGGAACTGAGCTGAGGCAGAGCTGCTTCTTCATCGCATGACTTGGAGCATACAGTGAATGGTGAGGAGCTACAAGAAGTCTGACCTACAGAGCTGTCTTTGGGATACATAACCATGCCTGTTCTTGGCCATCTGTCAGCATGCCCCATCTCTAGTCTTGGTGCCCTAAAGCTCACTATGTTCTCCCCTGCATTGCCTGTGCCTCTGTTGATGGTCAGATGATGACCAGTTGAGAGGACAGAAGAGACATTCTCTGTACTCAAAGTCCCCCTTCCACCAAAGACCAAATAGACAAAAGAAGCAATTCAGGGAAAATATGTTCAGCCTCTGTAGCCAAGAAGCAAAAAAAAAAAATAATACTTGGAATGAACAGAATCTTCTGAAAATATAGCTATTAAGCTCTACAGAGTATCTGCAAAGCTACAAAGCATGTATGAACTACAGTTTTCAGAGGTTTGTAACTCAGCCATCTTTAGGTAGATGTTTGCAGGAACACTGAAAGCTTATTTTTTACATCAAGACCATTCCCCTGTCAAACATCAGTCCCTTAGAGTATCACTGTGAAATACATACAGTGGCTTTGATATAAATTGCACACTGTACTATTCCCTAACATCTTTCTTTGATCCAAATCACTCGTAGCTGAAAATGAACATAAAAACCCAACAACCATAAGGATAATGAAACGTGGACCACATGCGGTTTCAGTGGAAAAAAAAGAGTCAGTTTTGCAAAATTACAAACAGCAGAAAAGTCAAGGTTGAAAACGCTAACTGTTTGACAATGCTACTAGCTTTCTTTACAGTAAAATAAGGAACACTGATTTTGTTTTAGCAGAAAAGAGGGCATGGTCTAGCCGTTTGACCTTCCAGTCAGCATCACCACTGTGATGCTGACTTTTTTCACATTCCTTGGCAGAGCATTTAAACACTGTATCCTCCTTCCCTCCTGACTATAAAAGCATCTACTACCTATCCATTAACACATCAGGGACTTGTGGGAAGGAGGATACAGTCTGCGGAGGCTAGAGGTTGTGGCCGGTGCTGTGTCTACCCTACCAAGCCCTCAGCTAAAGAAGAGGGCAAGCCACAGTTTCCTGGGAGTGTTAAGTCTTATGACCTTGCAGTCATAAGTGGAACAGGGAAGAATATAAATGTGCAAGACCATTCCCTGGTTGTTCAGTCATCCATGGGTATCACGGGACTGGAAGATACCTTAATTTTGCAGGGACTAGGAATTAATCCTGATCCATAAGGGAGAGTGTTTGAACCTCATTCACTGGGAACAACTGAATTACTGTTTCCTTCTGTGTCCATAATTTTTTGAATAGAAGAGAATTTATCCTCCTAGTTTGAAGCATGCAAAATGCTGTGTAAAGACTCACACTGCTACTTACGGATTATCGAAGCAAAGAGAAATTTAAGGTTGTTAGGGAAGGAAATGACATTTTTAAACTCATCAGTGGATACCATAAACAATGGAAAAATATCTAAAATACCTTCTAAATAGACTATTTCCTGTTAAATGTCTCCTGCTACCTAAGGAGATTTGAAAATGTATTAAAATAAGAACTCAGTAAGCAAGAAAAAAACATTGTCTTCATAGCTGTAAGCTGCATTTTGCTTGCTGGCAACCCTAACATACTACCCACATTTTCATCCCTGCCACTCAGTTCATGGAAGTATCAGAAAGACAAAGTCAAGTGTTCAGAAAAATGCAGTGACTGAGAAGGGGTGGGAAATTCTAAGACCTGTATCCTGTTCTTTTACTTGTCAGATCTTTAATGAATAGGAAATCTGTAGTCTCTTCAACTTTTACTTATTTCTTCCATTTTGGAGCTCAGGAAAATTATTGCACCAGACAATTTAATTACATTAAAAGCATTTATCTGAGTAGATCAACTGCAACATTTATCTGACAATTCATTTTTGATACGTTAATTTACCTCCAGCTATAAGCATATTGTTTTAAAATCATATGAAGAAGTTAAAATCAAGATTTAGCATACTGATTTATTAAACAGTGAATCATAATTGTTTGCGATGGGGTTAACTTACAGTAAGCACCAGGAGAGGGTGCAGAGGACAGGCTACATCTTCATGTGATGGTAATGTCAGTCCCTCCTGCTCCTGTTTTCTCGCAAAGATTCAGATGCCTGTCAGTGAAGGACTGTTCTATTTTAACTAGCATTGAAATGACATTAGAGATTTAGATACCAGAGCATGCTTCTCAAAAGTTATTTCTTATACAATTTTAAATGACAGAATGCTTTTTAAAATTGCACCTCATTGTGACTGCCCGGTGTTTTTTTAACCTAGAATGTAGTTTTTGTTGGTTCACTTTTTGGCTTGAGTCATTCTCAAAACACATTTCACACCTCCCCATCAGCCACTGGCTTGTGGCAACCGAGTTTTTGCCACCCAAACTGTTTAACTTCAAAGGTTAAGAAAACAAAAAGGCTCCAGAACATAAACATCTTTATATAGTAATACATACCTAGCATACCATTTTCATCAACGCTTCAGTGCAGCTCCCAAAGCTCTAAAATAGTATCTGAAATTTTATACGTGTTTATTCACTCCCGCATTTTCATATATTTAAAACTAAGAAGTGTCCCTGGATATGTACATTAGTAGGGAAGGCTGCCTTACTGAATGTTACTGATTTACCAGACACCACTGGATACCATTTTTATGAATTATATACCCTTGTTTGAGGGCTTTACAAACCCACAGACATATTTAGCTTCTCTTTCATTTTGCCAAACCATCTGCATTTCTTCTTACAATGAAGTTGGTTGCATAATGGGTAAATTGGATTTAATGAGTTTTGCCAGATGGGTATCCCTTCGGGGTACTCCCTTCCAATTCATTTACGCAAATATAAACTTAATTCCCCACACAATACCTGAAAGCATGGTAAGCTTCCAGATAATCATTAAGAGTTCTTTTCAGCTCGCCTTAATTTGGGAAAATACTTAAAGCTGTTTTCTTTTTTTTTGCCCCACCTTGTGTTTATGTCTTCCAGCCATTCCTTGCCCTCCCTGGATGTGAGGCTCTAAGTCTCAAAGGAGCCAAGCTGCAGGAGACTTTCCTGGTATCCTGTAGAAAAAGTTAGGCTTGAAAGCTTTCACTTGTATTTACCTCATGTTCAGCTCAACTGTGGACAAGTACAGGTGCCCACAGTTTTAACAAATTCCATCTCTCAGGACAAGAGACAATAACAACTCTTCACTCACTGAAGCCACATGGCCAGGTCCCAGTTTAGCAACATCTGGCTTTCCAAACAGAGAAAAAAGAATGAATAACACTGCTTAAACAGAGGACACATAACTTCATTAGTCCCCTGAAGCGTACAACAGACAGTTAGCATTTTTCTCATACTGAACCCAAGTACACATGGTCACGTTTCCTTCCAGGTCGCAGTTGGGACGGCAGATGTTCTCCCAGCATGTTATTCTCCTTGCATCCTGCGGTCAGGATTGCCAATTTATTCAGATTCCAGAGGATAAACAGGAGTTATCTCAATGAAGCAATTGTTCATCCCGCTACAAATTACATGAGATAATTTTGCAGGCTTCTCTTGGATTCCTGCCTCAGGGGAGCTAAAATGTGAAGGGGTGAGGAGCAGACCTCATGGCACAAAGCAAGAGGTGCTTGCACTTGCTTTCAGTAAAGATGACTCCTGCTGTCCTTCATGGCTGGAAGGGCACTGGAAAAAACATTTCATAGTCATTGTTAGGTCATTAACATGCCATTAATTTTTAATTTTTTTTGCTATATATTTTGGGCATTTGGGGACTCACCAATGCTAGTTCTCTATAAACTAATTTGTGTGATCAACAACAGCTAAATTCAATCTTCTTTGTTAGATAAGACACATACAGGTTTATCCTGAGACATTACAAAACAATTTTGCTAGGGTTGTAATAAAAAGAAAAAACTTGATTAAATGTACTGATAACAGCTGATATTGTTCAGCTGAATATCTTGAGTAATGAAAATTCAGCATTTGTTATAGAATATAGCAACTTAGAAAAGGGAAAAAAGATGAGCTGATAGATAGGCTGTTATCGAAGACAGTGCTGTGCTTACCACCCTTGTGCTGTTTGGAACTGGACAGAAAGATTTCCAGTCTTCACAACAAGGTCAGATAGCCAGTGGTCTTATTCTGCTGTTGCCCCAGCCTGAACTGTAATGGTCTTTCAAACTATGGCACCATATAGGAAAAGACTCTTCCAAGCATGTTACAGTTTCTGTAGCTGTACACCATAACTTCATGCATTTTACATGTTTCCTGGAGCTTGTGGAGTTGGAAATCTCCAGTGAATGGCTGGTTTGAAGAAAGGTAACCAGGGATGGCATGTTACCTTGTTAGGTATGTGCAGACCTGGAGCCATCAAGACGCAGACCCTGCCTTTGTACCAGTCTTGAAATAGTGAGATGCCACCTGGTTAATACAACAGCAGAGCAGCAGAAGAGAGAGTCTATAGGCAGAGGGTGCCAGTGATGCAATGGATAAATACCTTTTGGAAAAACTGAAGATGAAAGAAATCAACAGGCTTGGGATCTGTGAGACTAAACCAGAACGTTTCATCACCAGTTCAGAAGATTTAATTACACCTTCTGTTGGAATACTTGTCAAGATAACTTCTCTGGTGATCTATTTCGTGTATCCTTGATGCTACCCATGATGATATGTATCCTGACGATCCATGAAAACTCATGTTAAATACAGTAGGCTAATGACCTATATAGTGTATTTAATATAACAGAATTTCACCAAGGGTCTCTCTCAGTGAAGGAAGTTATCTTTCCATGGGATAAAATGAGCATTACTAAGCACAGCGTATTGTGATTAGAGATATTTTTTTTCTTAGAAAGACAACTAATGTTCTCTTTTAAGACTTCTGTTATGTAAACACTTTCAGTTCAAGATTAAGTTCCCAGCCTTCTCTTGAATAAGCTAACTAGGCTGAAGTCTTTTTGTTAGACCTATTTTTGGCCTTGGATACTTTATGATCACTTTGAACTCTCTCCAAATTTTTAACACTGTAAAAATGCTGGATGTGAGAACTGGGTACATTTTAGAAGTAATCCTTCCCTTAGCATATGCAAAAATAATATAAATGTTTTCATACACACATGTCTTTTCAGCCACCATGTGTTCACATCTTTTGGTTCATTTATTTATTTACAGTGATTTTAAAGTCCTCCTCAGAGATAGCTTTCTACATAGTTGGCTGTGCAGATCTGGTTTTACTAAACTTACTTTCCTGACAAAGATCATTTACTTGGAACAAAACAAACCAGACCTGAGTCTATAGTTAAGTTTACCGTAACTCCTCCTCCACTGGTCTCTTTGGGAGAGTCTCCACTCAGAGTTTGAACGTCACCTTTACTGAGGCTGAACCTGGAAAGTTTCAGTCTGAAAACAAAGGCTCCATCAAAGCTGGAAGCAACTCAAAATAAGTTATATAGTGTGGGAAAGCTAAGGAAGCTACTTGCATTGTTTAGACAACTTTGAATATATGAGTCACAGGCAATGAGGAAAGGAACCATCCTTTAAAATGTAAATTCAGAAATCAGCATTTGGGACAGCTTAAATAAGCTTTTGTTGCTTGCTTGTAGATGTTGGTTACTATAGCTACCTGATGTAGCCTTTATTTTTAATATATATTGCACATAGACTAAAAATATTCCGCCAAGAAAGAATTACAGGAGGATAAGATGCTATTCTCATAAATACTGATTTTTAGTTTAATATTATAGACCATTTATTTAAGTAGCTTTGTGAGTTGAATCACAAGATCATACAGCTACGTCTGTCTCTGTAGTTCTTTCTGTGTATGATGAAGCTAATGTAAAGAGGTACTGACATATGTAGCCTTTTGTCTAGATTAGGTTACCTGCAAACTGCCTCAGAGTTCATCGTGTCAGCTCAACGCCTCTGTATCTTTTGCGGAACCATTTTCCCTTCATTTTGAAAATATAACAAGAGAGCTGGTTGATAATATTCTGGAGGAATTGGAGCTTTGCGTAATGTTGCTGGAAGCCTGGCCTGGAGAGGGACAGGGTGATGCTGGATTTGAATTGCCCAGGCGTTGGAAGTTGCAAGGCATTTAGCTTTTTGCACTATTTTGCCATTCACAGATGATACAACATCAACTGATGAGCTGTATCCATAGCAGAAATATTTTAAAGTGTACTTGGTTTTGGTAATGGTATAAGAGGAATCTTATACCATACATAGAAAACTTGAATCTAAAATGCAGTAAGACTGAACATGTATTTTGAGTAAATCTATGTCATATTGCTAGGAAGGTTGTCTGGCTGAGCTGACCTCGCATAGAAATGTTTATCAGCTTCTAGTTGCCCCATCCTTGGCTCTGGTACTTGGTGTCCTCCCACCTTATTCTTGTCACTTCCAGAGGCATTGTTCCTTGTTGCTTTACTGTTCTCAGTGCACGGCATTTTTAAGGCTATAGCAATTTATCTCGAGAGCTGACAGGACATTTTAAAACTTCTTTTTGGTCAAAAATGTCAAGTAGCCAACATTGGTATGGATCCTGATGACTCTTGTGATTGAGAACCACCTGAGGAGGTAAGGTTGTTGCAACATTGTCTTTCTTCCCAGTGATAAATTTAAAGTGACACTTTTAAAGCAATCAGTTTGAATCCCAGAGATTTTTCTTTGGAAAAAATTTAAGACTAAATTGTTTGAAAACTTTGTTGAGTAAATGCAATTTGGAACACTAAAAGACAAAACTCTGAGTTTTGAAAAATTTAGTCTTGGACTTGTCCTGTGTGAGGGAAGAAAAAAAAATCTTAATCTGAAGCTCTCGAGAGTCTGCAAACAGGAAAATGCTTTCACATTTAGCTGTTGATTTGTTTTGCTTCATTTTTGGTGCCTCACCCTTAGAATAAAGATTATTAAATGGCAGTCTGCAATTTGTAAACAGACTTTTCTCCTAATGGTTTGACTTTGTTTTTCTCACTTTATATATTATAGCCTACTCCAAAAATTTCAAAGACCCTTAACAGCAGAGTAGGTGAGGGCCATACGAGCATGCAACTAGAGGAACTAGTGAACGTGTGATTCCCAGCAGAGAATGGCAACATTCATTTCCACAGCGGGTTTCGTATCTGTTGAAGTCTTTCTTGTTAACAGTATTAAAAGTATCATATGTAGAAATCGTCTTCAGGATGTTAAAAGATTATCATGTTATCGCCAAGAGCAAGCATGCAGTATCTGCTTCCAAACAAATGCAATAACTGCTTGCTTTTAAATCAGCACAAGATTGCCTCTTTCAGCTTTATTAATATGTTTAATGTTAGTGAGACGGTTGTTGCTGTTTCAGGGGCTGTTTACTGTGAATATTGGAAACAAACTGATATTAAAGCTAGAGTCTAGCTCTGATTCTCCCACTGTCTGATTATGATGATGATCCTTTTTCATAAGCATATACAGAGGAACATCTTTCTGCATGATTTGTCCTAATTTACGTAAAACCAAGATCAATGTGTGTTGCTCCTTCAACTTCTACCTAATATCCACGTCCTCCTATGGGTATCAGATGCTTTGTGAACCATTAACCACTGTAATCACGTGAACACAGGTGCTCCTATGAAAAACAAGAGAAGCCCTTGGGAAGCAAACTTCTGTGATAACTGCTGCATCAGAGATGCTGCCAAGGCTGACAGCCTCTCCAGTGCCTCTCCTGGGCTGAAAAAGTTGGAAGTTTCTTAGTGAGCCCTCCAATAGGCACGTTTTTCTCTCCACTGTGGGAAGGATTGGTGCAGGATGAAGATGCTGACCCACTGGTGTCTATTTTTGGTCTGTTCCTTTTGGTCAGTGTGGCTTAACCCAGCTGTTATTTCATTGCACTTGCTCATCGTCTTTTTTATCAGCGTAGCAGAGCCACCCAGCTTCTGTTGGGCTAATAAAAATGCATCTCTCCTACCCAAGTGCACCAGGGCAGCTGGCCTCTACAAAGGTGTGGTATTTTTTTTAACCCCTCTTCTCTTTCTCTTCTTTTGTGGCAGACTGCTGCCTTGCCCAAACGATGAGCAAAGCCAAACTCCATTCCAGAAGCATTGCTGAGTCTCTGGCTAGTCCTGTGAGCAGCCTGCCAGCTCCACTGGCCAAACTAAATGTCTGCATTAGCCCTAAGGGAGGAGGATGAACCATTTTATGGCAGCTGTAAAAGGTCATATAGTAAACACCAGTGCTACTGCTCATCTGTTGTCCCAGCTGATCCAAGTAGTTTGGATGTGTGTGTGGGATGCACGTGAGCAAGCAGTTCAAAGTTCTCTCCTGGCTCTTCAAGATTCAGGTTACAAACTAGAGAATTAGCAAAACTTAGTTGATTAATTTGGGCTTGTTCTATCTAGTTTGAGAGTGGTCGTTCAAATGAAATGGGTCTCAAGACCTATAACACTTGAAAACCTTTGTCTTAAAATACACATTCTGCCTTTTCTGCATAAATCTGTGCAAGGTCCGGGGCTTTTTGGCCTTGTTTGTTTGTTTGTTTGTAAGCATGGGGACATTCCAAGAGATTATCATTTCAATCATTTATCAGCAGTCCTGGCTAGCCAGGGAGATCCCAGTTGACTGGAAGTTAGCGAATGTGACACCCACCTACAGGAAGGGCCAGAAGGAGGATCCGGGGAACTACAGGCCTGTCAGTCCAACCTCGGTGCCAGTGAAGGTTATGGAGCGGATCATCTTGAGTGCCATCACATGGCACATACAGGACAACCAGGTGGTCAGGCCCAGTCAGCATGGGGTTATGAAAGGCAGGTCCTGCTTGACCAACCTGATCTCCTTCTATGACAAGGTGACTCGCTTAGTGGAAGAGGGGAAGGCTGTGGACGTTGTCAACCCAGACTTCAGTAAAACTTTTGACACCATTTCCCACAGCATTCACCCAGAGAAACAGGCTGCTCACTGCTTGGATGGGCATACTCTTCAATGGGTAAAAGCTGGCTGGATGGCCGAGCCCAAAGTGTGGTGGTGAAAGGAGTTAAATCCAGTTGGTGGCTGGTCACAAGTGGTGTTCCCCAG